TGTCCTGTCCTGTGTCCTGTCCTGTCCTGTGACATGTCCTGTGTCCTATCCTGTCCTGTCCTGTGACATGTCCTGTGGTAGTATTCATGTAATGTTCATATGAAAGTTTTTATATAGTGTTCCTATGGAAGTGTCTATGGAAATGTCTATAAAGTGTTCCTATGGATGGGTTGATATGGTGACCTATAGAATTGTATAAACAGTGTTCCTATGGAAGTGTTAATATGGTGTTCCTATGGACGTGTTTATATGGTGCCCTATGGATGTGTTTATATGGTGCCCTATGGAAGGGTTGATATGGTGACCTGTAGAATTGTATATACAGTGTTCCTATGGAAGTGTTAATATGGTGTTCCTATGGACGTGTTTATATGGTGCCCTATAGAAGTGTTTATATGGTGCCCTATAGAATTGTATATACAGTGTTCCTATGGAAAGGTTGATATGTTGTCCTATGGAAGTGTTTATATGGTGTTCCTATGGAAGTGTTCATATGGTGTTCCTATGGAAGTGTTTATATGGTGCCCTACGGAAGTGTTTATATGGTGTCCTATGGCAGTATTTATATAGTGTCAAATGGAAGGGTTTATATGGTGTTCTATGGTAGTGTTATATAGTGGTCCTATGAAAGAGTTTATATGGTGCCCTACGGAAGTGCTTATATGGTGTTCTATGGTAGTGTTATATAGTGGTCCTATGAAAGAGTTTATATGGTGCCCTACGGAAGGGTTTATATGGTGTCCTATGGCAGTATTTATGTAGTGTCCTATGGAAGTATTTATATGGTGTTCCTATGGAAGTGTTTATATGGTGCCCTACGGAAGTGTTTATATGGTGTCCTATGGCAGTATTTATATAGTGTCCTATGGAAGTATTTATATGGTGTTCCTATGGAAGTGTTTATATGGTGCCCTATAGAAGTGCTATATAGTGTTCCTNGTGTTATATAGTGTTCCTTTGAAAGAGTTTATATGGTGCCCTACGGAAGTGTTTATATGGTGTCCTATGGAAGTATTTATATAGTGTTCTATGGAAGTGTTTATATGGTGTCCTATAGAATTGTATATACAGTGTTCCTATGGAAGGGTTGATATGGTGTCCTATGGAAGTGTTTATATGGTGTCCTACGGAAGTGCTTATATGGTGTTCTATGGTAGTGTTATATAGTGTTCATATGAAAGAGTTTATATGGTGCCCTACGGAAGTGTTTATATGGTGCCCTATAGAAGTGTTATATAGTATTCCTATGGAAGTTGTTATATGGTGTTCCTATGGAAGTGTTAGATGGTGTTCCTATGGAAGTTGTTATATGGTGTTCCTATGGAAGTGTTATATGGTATTCCTATGGAAGTTGTTATATGGTGTCCTATAGAAGTGTTTATATGGTGTTCCTATGGAAGTGTTATATGGTGGCCTATAGAACTGTATATACAGTGTTCCTATGGAAATATTTATGGTGTCCTATGGAAGTGTTTATATGGTGTCCTATGGAAGTATTTATATTGTGTCCTATGGAAGTGTTTATATGGTGCCCCATAGAAGTGTCAATATTGTTCCTATGGAAGTGTTTATATGGTGTTCCTATGGAAGTGTTTATATGGTGCCCTATAGAAGTGTCAATAGTGTTCCTATGGAAGGGTTTATATGGTGCCCCATAGATGTGTCAATAGTGTTCCTATGGATGTGTTTCTATGGTGCCCCATAGATGTGTCAATAGTGTTCCTATGGATGTGTTTCTATGGTGCCCCATAGATGTGTCAATAGTGTTCCTATGGATGTGTTTCTATGGTGCCCCATAGATGTGTCAATAGTGTTCCTATGGATGTGTTTATATGGTGTTCCTATGGAAGTGTTAATATGGTGCCCTATAGAAGTGTCAATAGTGTTCCTATGGATCTGTTTATATGGTGCCCCATAGAAGTGTCACTATTGTTCCTATGGAAGTGTTTATATGGTGTTCCTACGGAAGTGTTTATATGGTGCCCTATAGAAGTGTCAATAGTGTTCCTATGGAAGTGTTTATATGGTGTCCTATGGAAGTGTTTATATGGTGTTCTATGTTAGTGTTGATATGGTGTCCTATGGTAGTGTTTATATGGTGCCCTACGGAAGTGTTTATATGGTGTTCTATGGTAGTGTTTATATGGTGCCCTATGGAAGTGTTTATATAGTGTTCTATGGTAGTGTTTATATAGTGTCCTATGTAAGTTTTTATATGGTGTCCTATGGAAGTGTTTATATGGTGTCCTATGGAAGTGTTTATATGATGCCTATAGAAGTGTTTATATGGTGTCCTATGGAAGTGTTTATATGGTGTTCTATGGTAGGGTTTATATGGTGTCCTATGGTAGTGTTCATGTAATGTTCATTAGTTTCCTGTGGTGTATGTTGTTAAGTAATATAGTCAACTCACTAGTAAGTTACATGTTACGTTCAGTTATGTAGTTGATTAATGTGATGCTATTTTATTTGTTCGGCATAGTTTTATTGTGTTCTGTCGGCTGTCTGTAGATAACCGCCTTTGTTGTACGAAAGACATTTTTCAGTACGAGAAATGATGTTGGGGTTGTATTTATCACATGATTCTCAAAATAATGAGAGTTATTTCCCCTGGGTCTCCGTTCCAAACCGTGTTAGCATGCCTCATTGCCAAGTCTTCCAACATATATTTATATAAGGAGAGTTTAAGATTCATAAGATTTTAATGTCTCCACCACACAACGATAATCGATCGGCCAATAGTACTTCATTTATACATGTTATAATTACCATTACGTGATAGAATGTAGATTTAAAATAAAGTAATAGAATGTAGATTTAAAAATAAAGTAATAGAATGTAGATTTAAAAATAAAGTAAAATACGCGTAGTTCTACATAAACACAAATATTTACACAACTTCAATAACTTAAAAATGTTCAGGTCGGTAAGCCTTAAGGACATTGGGCGTGGCATGAATTGTAATAACTTAAGTTACAATAAACTAGTAGAATTAAAAACAAACACATTTCATAATATTAAATATTTCAAACACTGTAATGATGCATTATCTAGGTGAAACGAATTAATGAGCTAATTTCTATGGAATTGGAACTGATTTCCAATGGTCCATTTTAAATTCTACTTAAATGTAAATTAAACCAAACATTTATGGCTATTGTATAAAAGGCTAACAGTCTGAAAGTGAAAGCTACCTAAAGTCTGTCAATCTGACAATATCTGGACTACACATGGAAAATTAAGTATATTGAGTCTTTCTTTCTTATTCATTACCATTCCTATGTCCGTTGTTAAATAAAAAAGCAAACTTTTTGTTTAATATTTAAACGTTGGTACATGTATATCAGTTTGAATTTAAAGTTTTTTTGTTTGTATTAGTTTTCTTTAAGACACACAAGATCATTAATCACACATTTGTATGTAGAGATCTCTATAACTCTATTTGCATGTCTTTTTAAATGTAAGAAAACAAGATGAAGCATTTAATGTTTAACTGTTAGTGGATAGAAGCTTTTAGACTCTCATACTGTTTTTGCAGGTTCATTTCATAAACACGACCATCTTCATTTCCGGCTAAACACGATACACACACACACTATAATGTTTTTGAATTTAAGAAAAAATAAAGAACACGCCCAATTAGTGTCTCCAAACTTATATCACCAATTATTCGTACGTTAAATTACGTTTCCGTTGTACCGCCCTTAGTTACTACTGGAGCTGTTAAACGTGAATGTTTTCCAATCAGATACAATTATTGTCTTTCCGTCAAACTAATAAATGTCGATGATTTGATAAATTTAACGTTTTCGCAACAGCTAAGGTAGTCTGGAGACGGGTGCTAAGGAAGACAAAATCGAAAGAAAGAGGACAGGGGAGCGAAAATAAACATTGGTCAGGTCACAAAATATTGTTACACTCTTCAAAATGTGTATTTTCCTTCCTGAAATTCACCTGCAACATACCATTCCTTCGGAAGTTATGTTTGAAAATTATCTATTCTCTTCTTAATTTTCACAACTTCATCTAAACTCTTGTTGTTATTGATATTGCCAGACAAATATGTCCAACATGGTGAAAGATTGCGACCTTGACCTAGAGTGCGTCAACCCTGTCAATGACTTGGTTCTTTTCCAACCCATTCGAGGCGCTTGTATCCGGGGTGAAAATGTTGCCGCAAGGTACAACCTAGGATCAGAGTTCACGCCCTCGTCCTGGGACTGGATTGGACTGTTCACTGAAGGATGGTCCTCCCACCGAAATTACATCAGCTTCCATTGGGCCCCTTCCATGGTAATCGACCCCCGGCGTAAGAACCGCCGGAGCGTGCTCTTCAAGTCAGAGGATTTCGAGGTAAACTTCCTCTCATACTTGCGTCGTCTGAAAATTCTGTCTTCTAATACTAAAAAAGGGGGACGGGGCCAATGATACTGACCTACAAATTCAAGTTTCAAATTCAAGAATACAGATGAATTAAATGTAGTCATATGAGAGAAAATACTGGTGGTAAACAATGGTGATTTACAACAATTGACAATATAGTTATGTTCTCCGGTGACACATTTTTAACGTTAGTCGCATAATCATTTTGTTTAATGTTGATTAGTATTAAACATATTCAGTATCAATAAAAGCTTGAACGTTTGTCTGGTGTTGTTGTCAAATCAGGTAATAAGTTTATAACTGGTAACATCGGTGATCGAATTTTTTATTTGTTTATTTATATTTTCCTTTTGTCACAAAAATAAAATTTATATGAAATTCATCAGGCTGCCAGGACAATGGAGGATAATTTCAAATTCCTCTACGTCACGTCCTGGAATCACGTGGTCGGCGTGAGTCCAAGCTTTAGGCTTGAAGGGGCAATTGGAGAATACGAAGATCTATGTTTCGACTTGATGGAAAATTCTATCGAACGACCCCTCAGTACAAAGTTGTTAGCCAAGAGGAAATTTTCAGCCCACGAACTTTTCCCAGACAATGGTGATCTACATTTTGATGTACTTGAAAGGGGTCTCCGTGCCAAAAAACCCAAGCCCTCCTTGATGCCCTTTACTTTTACCAACCCTGCCAGTCCAGCCGACATTTGCCACCCATTGAAACTTGATGGCGACCTGGAATTTGAACTACTGGAACAACTTGCTTACCAACAGCAAGAACCAATGAAAGAACAGGAAAAAAAGAAAGATGCTAGTAAGTTCTATTTCTTATTGACCAAAATTTGATTATGTTACTTGTGTTTTTACATGTCAAGAAGTAGAACAGCGCCATATCGAAGCAAAAATAAGTTGCCCGCTGTGACAGCATAGCAAAACTAAAGTTGGACTCTCTTCAGAACCAGATGGAGGGGGGTGGGTCCTCTGTCCCTTATTTATATAACTTAAAGAAACCATGTGCTCTTACAAAACAACATTGTATTTTTAAGACGTTAAACACCAACTACAGAAGTAATATACAATTATGTCTATCTTTAACTCATGGAGACATCAACATGTTTTATTAAGTATTTATAAATAATTTTGAACAAAATAATAAATTTCGAACATTATGTAAACAATGTAGAAAGTCTTAGATAAGTCAAAACAACACTACGTACGTGTAGTCTAAATTCATAGGCACAATCTTTTGAAGTCTGTGTATACAAGCAAGTAACATTGCATTGCATTTATAGATGTAATTTGCATTTGTTTGTAAATCACCCCAAAACAATTATGTGGGAAGGTTTAATTATTAATAAGTTGATGGAGAAACAGGCGTTGTATTCAAATCTTGCTCAATATCAATGCTATGACACACTTAACATAATATCACAGACTATTTAAAAACAATAAACATGTAACATGTAATAGATAATTCGGAATTATCAATGCGTAGGTATCACACAGGTAATATTAAATGGTGTGTGGCAATTCTTTTATATACGATTCTAAGCGACGGAGCTTGTCACCGGATACGTGATGAGTTGATATAACTATTGAGTGTACATGTATGTGTTGAAATCTACATGAGATATGCTTTACACATGATTCCTTTATATAAGTGTAGTAAATAGATACTCGACGAATCTGTAGGTACCGGTAACGCACCTTCCACTAGTAATTCATCATCCTCGTTTAATTTTTAACACTGTTTTATTAGAATAAAAATGACAATTCTTCGACGGCAAAATCATGATAAACCTGTCAGAAGTTTTACAAAGCTTCACAATCATTATGTTATTTAAAATTATAATTTTCAGAGTCCACACAAAATAACTTTCTTGTCGCTACCACACCAGTATCTAAGAAGAAGGTACTGACAGTAGTGAGGGACCACGGAACTTTGACCGGTAACTTTAGTCCTGAGAGACCAGTCACCGACCTGCTTCACCTTCTCTTCCTGTACCCGGTAGTTAGAAACTATGTTGAGAACAAGGAAATGTCAAATTATGTTGAGAACAAGGGAATGTCAAATTATGTTGAGAACAAGGAAAGATCTGTCGTTCCATACCAGATGTCAAAACCAATCTTCGACATCAACTCGACCAACACCATTTCAACCGTCACAGAAATGTCGGTAAGGACAATTGATATTGAGAGGGATTCCACTGAGGCATCATGTTTAGTAGATACTCCAGATATTTTCTGAATAATAGCATGAAATTATAAATATTCTTGGTGACGCGAACAAACTATACAAATTGCATTTGATATGAATAGGCGAGAATATACCGTTATTGTATCTGTCACATTTAACCTAGAAGATTATGTAAGTTTGGGTTTTTGCTATTTTTTCTGCATCTGCTGTTGATGTTGACTAGATTGTTATACTAGTATTTATAGATAACAAAAAATGTTATATGGATAATTGTTTACAGTTGATGTATAATTCCGTTCCATTTGAATTCAATTCATTGTTGCAGCGCCAGAGTAAATCGGAAGCAAGTAGTCCCGAACTTGAGTTTCCAGTTCGACTTCCGATCATGCCCGCACCCAAAAGTGTTCTTTTTAACACGGAAGAGGATGCCAAACATTGTAGCGCATGCGCATTTGGGAATACGGCCACTTCAGATTTCATTCGCCAGGAAGAACGTGCAGATAAGGCGATGAACAGACTCCGGGATGAAATAAGGAGTCTGAAAAAACAAATACAGGTTTTTACTCAAAAAGATTGCAGTTTTCTTATTAGACGTAATTGCAAAACTCGTCACACAAACAGAACATTGTTTGGGAACTCATGACGTGAAGAGGAACAGATGATTCTAAATGTATTTGGCACTCTATACCCAGGGATAAAATTGATTTTATGTTAACAATAAGAATGTAAATATATGTTTTGTTTATACTATTTTTCTGTGTCTCGCTTTCCTTTATGTCGAGATTATTTTATTTGAAAGATGTGGTTCTGTTTCAGCATGCAAAAACACAAAAGAAACTGATGGCGAAGCAAAAGGATATTAAATTCCGCGCGGCCATGGAGAGGAGGACAGTTCTCGAAAAAAGCGTTCTGTCACTGAAGACAGAGCTCCGGGAGGTAAAGCAGGCAGTGACGGAATCGGTAATGAAGGTACTTTGTCTTACGTCTCTCTTCTTCCAGTTTATATACATGTACTTATAGGCACGAATGACAAGGTGAACATTCCAGTGTCTATGTGATAGCAATAGCTGATACAGTCTATGTGAGATAAAAACATCTAACAATTTTTTTGTCTAACTGAAATCGTTGACATCTTTTATTATCCACGTGAGGCATGGTTATTTTGTAAACTTGGCTGCCCATCTATTGATTTTACTGGTAGTATATGATATAGTACTGTGGGTTACACGAGAGTTGATGATATGGTTATGAGAGAATTGATTTAGTACCGTTTATTGCATGCTGGTTAACGTACCGTTTAGATACAACCATACATGTGACTTAATGACATAGTACCATCTAGATAAATGATAATTAGTGTTGAAGTGCCGTTTAGCTATATGCGGGCTAATGATGCATGCTCACTTTGCAAGAGACTTAATTTTAAACTAATTGGCGCAAGGATTCAATCAACGAGACAAAACTTCAATAATAACACAACAGTCACGTATATATAATTATTTGTTCGTTGAAGTTTCATCATTGCTCTACATCGAATTTACGTGTTCAGGAAAGAAAAATTGAAAAAGCTGGATTGTCTTTATATCAGGTTCAATGGACACTGAAACCAGGGTCACTGTCTGACAAATACCTGATGGATGCTTTCCAACTTCTACAGCAGAGAGGCTACAAACTTCTGGTCGACAATGAGGGTATCTATATATATATATGTTTTTTGTAACCCTATCTGGTCGTACGTAACTTGTTTAAGTTATCACGACTGATATCACATGTGGTAAACACTTACTATTATTATTTCACCTCGGACGTACGGAGGTTGGGGAACAATTATTAGAGTTAGCAATGACATATTTAGGCTGATTACTTATTTGAAAGTGTTAAATTCCATTGGAAGTACTATATTTGAACATAACATTTATTTATCGAACTGTTAGAATAATTAATACAACACTACAATGAACCGTGTCACTAATATTCACCCCGATACAGGAGGCAAGCACGCTCTCGTAGATTTGTCCCAGGGTACCAGCCAAGAGGATGGATGGATCACAAGGAGTCCCAAGAGAATTTGTAAGCACATTCGGAACATAAATATCATAAACGCTGGATTTCGTTACAAGCAATTGTAAAGTAAAGAAAAAACTGATATGGCTATAAATGTTAATTATGTGGGTGACTAGAAAGGAGACTTTCGTGTAAATGTACTGGTGCTACATGCGGTAGAGGAATAATAATCAGAACATGTTATTTAGTCTCCAGTATTTGTAGGCTTTATAGTGTATTTCATTGTTTTGTATCTCATTAGTTTCTATTGTTGTGACTATAGACTATAAAAAATGTATAATATGTGCCTTTTCTGCCTGACATCGTGACAGAAGTAAGTTTAGGTTACTCAGTATAGTTTAACACATTAATTTTATCAGCCAGGATCAATATCTTGATCTCTCAAGTTTGGATGTCACAAAAGGTCTTGTGATCATCGGTTAGATACAGTTTAAGCATAGCTTGATCGATGAAGGTATATTCACAGTATATGTATTTCTATACCATTTCTGACACCCAACCATGATTGGTTAAAATGTGTAAAAGAACCTTGTCACTAACGGACAAAAAGGGGTTTCTAAAGAAGCAGATTGATGAAGATAGGCAACAGTTATGGTCGCCATTATCATGTCAATATGCTACATGTATTTCATCTGTGATATGAAGGTCGATGTTTTGAATATGCTCATTAGTATGCCTTGGTTATAAAAAGAAAAGTACTAGTGAATTATTATCTTAATGATAATTGACATAACTAGGATTTGACCTAGATTTGATGGCGGATGTCATCATTAATAAAATAATAACTGTAACAGCAACACTAACCTCCCAACTAAATACTTCACACGGTTGTATGTTTCTTATATTCAGCGCGCATGCGTACAGTCATAGGAAACCAATCGGCAACCATACAGAACCTTGTCGCTGCTGTGATTGCTCAGCGTCAAAGCATCTCTCGTCACGTGACTACTATGCAAGATCTGAGACAACAAGTGGCGGTAAGTCAACTTGATTGTTGTATAGTTACTACATATATTCTCAAGGAGTTTGGATTCCTCGACAAAGATGAGCTATAATAGTGTGTAATTTGAGATAAAAATTATCGATATGTAAACACACAAATGCACAAATGCAAAAGGCTGGCAAGATATGAACTTTAAAAGGTAGATCAACTGGTGCATTATATAACAGTTGTGCATGCTTTTCGTACTTTTAGACAAAGAACACACAAATAGGAAAAAAACTAATAAGTCCAAACACACTTACCGGCCAGTATGTACTGCAACTGGTTTGGTAACATCTTTATAACATTGCACTATTTTGCGATCCGTAAATATTTGCCTTCAGTTAATTCGACTGCTATATCTATCAAAGATCTATCGGTAAATCTTACCATCAGCTTCCGTCTACGCATTCCTCGGAAATAACAACCAGAAACACCTCCCTCGCTAACGATTGTGCCATTCACGAAACAAAAAAGAACATTTGGTGCATACGAGTTATCGTATGTATTCCATCTGATTCCGAAACCAGCTGGTCCCGCTGGGAGAAAGCTATGTTAGCTTAGCTTGTGTCATTTGCGACATATTTTTTTCCAGAACTTATTACTTTATTTAAAATATTAAGGTTGTCTATCCTCAAATGATAACGTTTATCCCAAATCAGGTAATACAAGCTACGAACGCAGCAATGTCCTGTCACATATTACAAATGATAATTCACTCGCTATTAAACTAACAGGATTCCATCTGTTGGGCAAGGTGAGGCATGTGCAAAGTTTAGTGGTCTTATTGACGAGGACAAGTAGGTGTATATGTTCTTAATTTTGAAATTGAAAACAATCAAATCGTATCGTGTCTACTGTAAATTATCACTTGAAAGAGAGCCTTAATTGCTAATTGTAGAAATGTTAAAATATATGCAGTTAGATTTTCGTTATAGTTCTGAGTTGCTGACTGTAAAGCTTACCCTGTTTTTATAATCTGAGCTCATGACACTGGTTTATTGGGGTTTTGTTATTGCTGATGTTGTGTATGCTATCATAAGCAGTATACTAGTAGCTAATTAAGTATTGGACTTTTCTAATTACTTATTGCTTTGTTAATGGAACAGTAAGTACGCGATTTTGAATCTATAGAGACTTTCTCATCTATAAATACTTTTAACAGTAAAGGGCTACATTGGCGATGATAAGGTCGCCTCCCACAATTTTTCCAGCTGCCGTTCCGACAGGATGCTGAATGATGAAGCGTATCATTGTTTGTACGTGCAATAAAAACCTCTGTTTTAGGAACGCCTAGTTTACATAGAATGTCAAACAATCGGTCACACCAGTAAAGATATTCACAAAGAGGCACAAAGTCTCCTGTTTGCGTATCATAAGCGTAAACAAGGTATTCCAAGGCTCGTGAGTGGATTATCTTAAATAGAAACAAGGATATATACCAAGTCTCTGTAGTAGGTGTTAAAATGTAAACAAAGATACACAACGTATCCTGTGGCAGTGGTATAAACGTTAGCAAAACGGATGTATAATTACATTTCTGTTGCAAATCCTTATAAACATTAGCAGAAGTATATGCATTCATAGGGGCTATGAATGCAATAGGACCATTGTCGTTTTGACGTTTATCCTACCGCCTCGCATATCATGAGACCAATTTAAGAAGCAAATATTTGGATGACGCCAGCCTGTTCCAGGAATGGCATTTGATTTATACTATATACAACATTGATTCACAGGAACTTCATGCAATATGTTTGCTATCGATTTGCATACCAACGGGCGTAAATATTTATTTATGTGTCCTCAAAGGTTGATGTACGTACATCTTAAAATGTATTTGATACCACTATATATCTTATTTATTCAGATTTCGTATGTACATGTCGCGCAGTAGTTGTACTTCTTTCTAGCCTCAAACACGTAATGTACTTTATCATACAATAGGGTATCATATTCTGATTAATAATATGCGTTATGATTGGTCATCAGAATTAAACGTTAATATTCATCATGTTTGGTCAGCATCACGAGAATCATACTTATATTTTGCGATTGATCATCATCAACAAACGTTATATATACATTTTGGTTGGTAAGCAAAGATGTAATAAACGCTATTCAAGGTAAACATCACCAAAGACAATACACAAATTCCGTAATTTGTAAAGATATCACAAAAGGTTAGCAGCTCATATTTTTAAGTTTGGCGCTGTGCTAGAGAGGCGGTTATCTCAGTTACTTATACCAACACACATCTGGTCGGGATATATGTAGATCTAATGTTTCAGGACTTTCGTTACGCCATTCTTAAATTCCATATTTTTTGTTGTTGTTGTCGAACGATTCAATATGCATAGCGAAAACATGACACATACGATATAGCCTTTTTAAATATCCCTAGACCATACGTCTTAGACTGCACCAGTGTAGGTAGCACCTGACTTACTTACCATTCTGGCCGGTGCCAAGTTAATGTTCAGACCAATTAATGTAGGAAGTGCAAAGTTTATTATTTTGATGTAACTTTCTAACTTTCTACATTCTGCTTATATCGACGTGTAACACGAGAGCCACAATTGTAACATATACATTTCCAAATTTAAATACCATTGTATACTATTTTTCTTTTCTTCTTCTTAAAAAACAATAAATATTTGCCGGAACAAAGTGTGTTTCTTCTAGCCAACTTCTATATTGACACAAATTGAATTTATATAGCTATCTTATGTAATAAAGTGGTTATTATTATAATTGATATGTACAGTATGCAATCAATATTTTGTATATAAAGCGCGGCACTATTATAACAAAATGATCAACATAATATATATGAGCGTACCTTTAATATCGGGAGGGCTATTAAATAAATACTGTCATTATTGTCAGGAATCACATTTATGGTGTATATAATTTATCTTAGATCTTTCTTTTACAATCCTTCGAAGTATCCCCCTTAAGCAGAAACACACTTTCACAATCGTGAACGGTAGTCTCCCGTTGGAATATTGGCAATACTCTTGAATATTGCACTACCCAGAGCACTCCTCGAGGCATATCGTTTCACAGAGAGCATGGTCTCCGTAGTGAAGGAAACTGGTGAAAAGAGTTGTACAATATTGTTTTGTTGGGATGAAGCATTGTCGTGAATAAATTGGATGACATTAAAACTTTAACTAAGACGTTTTTTCATGTAGAATCTTTTGACATTTTTCAGAAAAAGAGTCAAACAAAAGTTTCTTGGCGCTTTTAATGCGTCTCGCAACAACTGACCGGTCTTAATTTCTCGACAACTATTTTTGGGGAGGTTAAAGTAATAGACCTAGGTCTTATTCTCTGTTAGTAACTCAGATAGCTTTCTTGAGTTGCAATTATCGTTTTTTTCTATAGATTTTACAGTTCAAACGTTTGGCCTTTTGTTCAGATGTGAGGAAAAGGGGAGTCCATCGTACACAAATATTCTTTAGTTTTAAGCGCTTGGTCAGAATGTAATGCATACTGGCTTCTGAAAAGCCAACCATATGAGTTTATCAGAAACAGTAAAACGAACATTAACCTTAATTATTGCTTTCACAGCATTGATGTTCTTCTTTAATGCTTCAACAACTGGCCAGCCCAGCCGTTAGGCCTGTTTGATGTCCACTTTACCTACAAAACAATTGTCAATGTGACGACAGACATGCCTTTTGTGCTGATGAAGTCTACATGTGTCTGTTTAGGCGGTATATGTAAAGCACATGTTGCTTAAATATAGGATCGTATTTCAAATTTTGTCTCAACCTTCATTTTAGCATTGAACGTAGCCACTAGTCACGAGTTTATACCATTCAACAATAAATAACTTGCTAAATTCTTGTCAAATGCTGTCGGAATTGTGCACGTGCATTGTTCTTGAAATGCTGTTGTTGTTTGCCAAGGAGCTAAACTATTGTATTGTCCGTTTGTACGGGAGTAGTGCAGTGACATCATTTATTGAATGACCCTCATACAGTGTAGAGTGTTATTTATGAAGACAAACGAAGACGTGTGGTATTACATGCATGTATATGCCTAAAATTGTGTAATCATGATATATTTCATGTGAGTTTAGGATGCATATAATGGACGCTAATGTACTTACATGTCGACCTCATTATGTAAGAGAAGTCATTATGTAATTAATATTATTAATATATCTCTGTGATGTACTTAACGACAAGTTTACTTTTCCTCATTAGCGTTTGTTAATTGCTACATGAACCAACACCTAGTAGATTCATTACAAGAGGGGATGGCGACGTTGACAGACGCAAACGTTTCTCGATTCTATCAGAGTTTATTACTTGTACAAATATCATATTTATGTCCAGTTATTAATAACAGGTTTCTTTTTATACTGAAACAGATGCTTTACGTATATTGACATTGTTCGTTAGTGCAGTTTATTTGATCATTTAATTATAAATCATATTGGAAATGGGAGAACAATGAAAATGTCAGACTAAAGTACATTGAACGTTATCTATTACTTTAGTGCTAATGATTGTCGGACAATAATGTACATTATTCATAATAATAAATTCTGAGTTTGTTTTTAACACATATAGTAATTGAAAACATATTTTTGCGAGTTTTCGAAAACGTCTGTTTTCTTTGTCGAGCAAAGAGCGCAAATGGCCGGTGTCTCGACTCTAAACCACTGAAAACAACTCACGTAGCCACACTGTGCCGAGTCAGTAAATTCAGCTGTTAGAAATTAAGGAGACATTTCGGCAAATAACACTAATCATAAATAATCCCTCTATAATTTCTGACAGGTGAATTTGGAGTCGACACCGGTCATTTGCACTCTTTGCTTTACAAAGGAAACAGCCGTCTTCAAACGGTCGCTTAAATAAGTTTTCAATTACTGATTGGGTTCAAAACAACTAGGAATTTATTATTAAATATGTATATTATTATACGTCAATCATTAGCACTGTAGATATAACTTCTCATTTTTCCGAGGTATTAAATGTTCATTCGAAGCGCATTTAAATCTCGAGAAACTCCACTTACACAAAACTTACATCCACAATGAATCCCATGTCCCCAATACAGCCTATAGTTTAATAACGTACCAAACAAAGGGACATTGTCTTCTTTATGTGTATTTTATGTTATTTACATTCATGAAATATGCATAAACATGCTAATAACATTTTAAAAGTAACATGACTAATTAGCAACCTCGTTTCATGTTAAGGAAACAAAAGTCTGAGTAAGCTCGTTTTGTAATTTTCTAGCTATTGTAACATGCATTCTGATTTTCATAATTCTTAAAAATTTGACATATAAGATAGCAATGTGGGCCATCCTTTATATTTGATTATTTTAAAGACATTATTGGAACATAAGCCATTTCTATCTGTATTGTTTTATACAAACACTTGTACTTTAAAGATTCAATTTACTGTTGTGTTCAATTGTATTAGATATAAATTAAGGATCTTCAGTCGAAATTTCGTTTAAGTCTGCAACATTCAAGTTGCAATTTCGGACGATATTTTATATAGAAGATGACCTCAATTCAAAAAAGAATGTTAATTTCAAGCAAAAACTCGATGGAATCTCAAGTATGACAGTTAAACATCAACATAGTTGATGTGCCTTGCCTGTGTTTTTGCAGTCGTTGAATTCGCATCAATCGTTCTTCCATCCCTTGTAGGCTAACCATTATATATAATATATTTTGATCGCTTCTTGGATTTTTTTTTATTTGATAAGAATACGCATGGTTTAAAAAGTCTTTAAGTGATGGACTTTTCACTCACATGGTGGACCCAAACATTGTGTACTTGTGAATTAGTTTGTGCGAATGTAATTGCTTTGATACGATTGAGATTGAACGTAAGCAATTGTCCCTGCCAACATTGTCTCGTATACTACACTTTAGAAGATAGGTACATTTTACAATACATTTTATGTAACTCCGTTTACGTAATTATTGACAGAGCTTCAAAGTAGATATACTTGGTCACTTTGATAGATGGTGAATGATATGCAAGCTCTTAACTCAGTTCAGAAACGCTTATTTTTTAAGTATTCATAGTTTTTCTCTGTTGTTGGTGTATATTTATTGGGCGTAGGAATTTCTTATTGACTTTCTTTCAATTTAGATGCATATTGTTGTGGCTTAGCAATGTCAATTTCATTTTTGGAGCACAGATCTTTATATAGCATTTATCTAGTTTACGTTCTTGATTTCGCAGTAGCAAAGAATTTGTCAGACTGAGGTAGGTTAGTGGGCAAACTCGAGTCACATCACTGCTATTAGCCCTGTTTATATTTGTATCTGACGATAAAGATTTTTAACATCAACATGATTCTTTTCATCAAACACGCATTCTGCTGTAAGTTATCAAATCAGTGTTTCACAAATATATACCTTAGTTATACAGAGTACAGAGGAGTTTAACCAATTGTAAAAGTGAACACTAATTTTCTACTTAGATTTAAAGATTATGACAATCTCTGTTTTATGTTTAAATATTTGATTATTCACAAAATAATGTTGGAATTTTTTTAGAAATAAACAGATGTTGATGGCTACGTTTGGATCCAAAGTTTCCACCAATAATTGGTTTAATGTCTTCTTTATCTGTAACGAATTAGCACACATACCACAAGATCAACGGGGTTTTAAAAAGGAGAATATTTAACCCAGTGCAGACATTACTTGGAACACCAGCCAGAAAATGCCTGTGGTGCGTGGTATCTATTCTAATGGGGAAACACAAAAAGCAAAAATTGATCAAATCTCATTATTCGGATTAGGTGCTGTTGCTACAATAACATGTATAACGTAAACCAGCTGAAGGCCGGGTAGGGAGATGCAGCGAATGTAAACATTGCCTGTTCCATTTTTCGTGAGCCAGCTTCAGCAACAATAACATGACCAAGAATGATAGGGCTATATAGAGAAATATCTAATGGGAATATTTTACATTTCATCGGCATATTTACTTTCGTTTAGTTTTAAGACATATTGCTAATGTTGTCTATCTTCATTGCATTGCTTTGAACAATATAAAGTAAATATTCCCCGACGTGTTGCAAATGTACTAACTAGTAAAAATAGTTATAACAACGGACATGTGATACGGTTTGAATCCATACAAGAGTAAACAGCTGTTACGGTTTAATTTTCTTTTTGGTTCAGGTTGTTTATATATACTTTACAGTATATAATATTTGTTTATATATACTTTTCAGTATATAATATATAATATTTGTTTGTATATTCTTTACAGTATATAATATTTGTTTATATACTTTTCAGTATATAATATTTGTTTGTATATACTTTACAGTATATAATATTTTTTAGTATAAAATATTTGTTTGTATATATTTGTTTATATACTTTTCAGTATATAATATTTGTTTGTATATACTTAACAGTATATAATATTTGTTTATATATACTTTACAGTATATAATATTTGTTTGCATATACTTTTCAGTATATAATATTTGTTTGTATATACTTTTCAGTATATAATATTTGTTTGTATATACTTTACAGTATATAATATTTGTTTATATATACTTTTCAGTATATAATATTTGTTTGTATATACTTTACAGTATATAATATTTGTTTATATATACTTTACAGTATATAATATTTGTTTGTATATACTTTACAGTATATACTATTTGTGTGTATATACTTTACAGTATATAATATTTGTTTATATATACTTTTCAGTATAAAATATTTGTTTGTATATACTTTACAGTATACAATATTTGTTTATATATACTTTACAGTATATAACATTTGTTTATATATACTTTTCAGTATAAAATATTTGTTTGTATATACTTTAAAGTATATACAAACAAATATTATATACTTTAAAGTATATAATATTTGTTTGTATATACTTTACAGTATATAATATTTGTTTATATGTACCTTACAGTATATAAGATATGTTTATATATACTTTACAGTATATAATATTTGTTTATATCTACTTTACAGTATATAATATTTGTTATATATACTTTACAGTATATAATATTTGTTTGTATATACTTTACAGTATATAATATTTGTTTATATATACTTTACAGTATATAATATTTGTTTATAAATGCTTTACAGTATATAATATTTGTTTATATGTACTTTACAGTATATAATATTTGTTTGTATCTCGCACTTTTGCAATTGCAACGTTTGGCAAATTTTTACTTAGCACAAATTGCTGTAGTGATATTGTCTTCACACAAACAAAGGCCGTATGACGATGTATACAAAAACATGTTCAGGTCATGATCATTTAACAATATGTTAACTTAAAAGGTTCCATCATATCACGACATGTTCACATGAAAGCTAACACAATATCACGACGTGTTTACACGAAACGAAGGCCATATGACATGTTTACTAAAAAGTAATATGCCGTCGTGTTCACTCAACATATAATGATGTATTCACACAATCGTTTATTTGTTTATTTATTCAATACACTTAACAGCCAATCAACACCACAAGGGCAATTAGGATAACACGTTTCCCCTAATTGTTCATGAACACAAAAAGTTGACATAGGGTCACAACATCTAATTGTGCCAAGTAGAGCATATACATGTACGAGTAAAAGGTCGAAAAGGTCAACGGTGAAAACGACCGTACAGGATAAATATTGGTCTTGGAATAACAAATCAATTCCGTGCTTTCATTGTGCTTTAAACAGCCAGGCACCGAAGAAAATGTTCAGTTCTTTGTCTGAGAGATCATGCATTGGGTCCCAAAGGCTATTTCTTTCCCTTAGGCTTTTCCCCTCGCCTGATCCAATCTCATTGAAATGTCGTGTACTTGCTTTTTTAACTGATTAGTGCATCATTTAGAATAATTTTATCGTGGAGAACAATATTTTGAAATCAACACACCTTACAAATGAAAATATAACAATTAACTAACACCAAGCGTGGACTTTGACATAGAAGAATCGAAATATTGTTATGGATAACAAAATCAGTAAATATCAGAGCTGTAACTGCTACCTAATACACTATAGTGTAAACCCTTGTGCAAAGTTAACATCAGGTACAGGATATTTTCTAACTTAAAGTATTAGTATACCGATTTAAAATCGTTTATATTTTTTTTCAGACTTTCGAAAACGCCAACAAAGATAAAGACAGAAGGATAGTAGAAATCACCAGGCGTGTTCGCGTCCTTCTAAGCGCCCGCAGCAAGGATCTCACCAACGAGTGGCGCCTCTTCGCCAGGAAAATACAGGTAGGGTTATTTTTAGATCTGTAATGATAACATAGTATTGAATTGTTTTGTTCAGGTTTTTGTATGTCGGCATTGAAATATAAACAAAAACATGAATAAATCTGAAAAGGATATTACAATATTTTGGTCTTCGTGGTTTAATCAAGGGTAAAATAGAATTTAGTTTACTGTTCTTCTACACCATTCATTAGATACTAAAACAATGCATTGTTCGACGTAGGGGTTCTGCACATTATTAGAAAATATTTCAGGTTTTTTCTCTAGATTTCAATATACAATTTGTATTTTGCATATACATTGTATACATTGTGCGCTTTATGCTATATCAAATACAAACATACGTTAGGGTACCAAAAGACATACTCTCCGATACAAGAGACCGTCAAAATCGTTAGGGGTTACAAGAAAGCATACAGAGGAGCAAGACCATATCATAAGGAGCTTCACATTTTGACCATACTATTTTGTATTTTTCCAGGAACCTGCCGAGTCTGTTGTAGTCAAATCAAAAGTAGCATCCAAAAAGGTTGAACATAAGAAAGGAAGGGCTTCCTCTGGTGTTTCCAAACAGGTAGCTAAATTTGCACCCTACACCTTCAAGAAACCCGAGGACACGTCTACTCCCGTGCAGACTGACGCCTCATCTGTAGAATACGATCAGTCTGCCTTGTCCCAAACCGCCTATGTCAATGAGAAAGCTACAAAGACCAAGGTTATTAGAAGAAAGAGGCCACACATTTCTGTAAAATTATGCAACACGTGCGGACAATCTTTCGGACCAGAAGTCTCGGCTCATGTGATCGAAGAACATCTCCTTTTCCATGAGCGATTTGGTCAGAAGAAGATTTTCATGTAAAATCAACCAGCTCATACTAAGAACTACCATACCATCATTATCACCAGCATCTTCAAATAGATATAGGTTCTGTCATTTATATTTTTACATGGAGATACCATCAGCTTCAACACGATTTCAAGAACCTTTAGTAACTGATATATAATATGACTTTACAGTTTTCTGTAAAATTCGATATATTTGCCATCAATGTCAAGAACTACATGTTTTAAAAATTGCTCCATGTTTCAGAAAAAATTCCGGCTATTAACCATCTAGCTAAGGGATAACCGTAGAAGATCTATTAAGATAGCATCACCTTCATTTCCGCAAAAAAGAATTAACCAATTTTGCACAATGAGATCAACTATGGTTAAATGCATGTGTATAAAACAAATAAAAACACACATCAAATTCAAAGTTTTCAGTTTTTCTGTCATTGGAAATCTCAAAAAGCTATTTGTTGTACAAACACAATGTAGTCTCAACTAATGTCTCGGATACAAATTCTCCAGTTGGAAACTTTTCAAGAGAAAAAGCTCTCCTGTTATTTTTCTTGACATCTAGAAATACGCAAAGAGAATCATTGCTTTGCAAAATATACATTTTATGAAAAAACACTGATTTCCTTACCAACTTTATTAATACCATTAATGATAGTACCTAACCACAAATCAGTTTTCAACATGGCAGATGCAAAACATTTTAGCAGGAAATATCAAAATTTAAAAGAAATAAAGTATAGCAGTAAAAAGTGTTTGGTTCTATTACAGATTGAGCAAGGTTTATGATTCTAACGACCAATAGCTTCCAAACCCACAGCTCCAACAATTGACCTGAGCGTTAAGCGCAAATCTAGAAGGCGACTGGAACATTCCAGGATTAAAACCTTAAAAGGGAGTCATAAAATATGGACACAACTTGTAAGATTAACAATGAAGGTTCATTTTATTCTCGATGATGTGAGGTCATGTTATTACTTGGATTCGTCTTGAATAACATGCCGGGTGTAGCCGATGGGGCTGGTAACACACGCCTTTCCAGAGCAACTGTTTCCATTCCTATTTTGCTTTTCTGTTGGGTATCCGTGTGGATGTTTCCTTTGTTCGCCCTAGATTTATTGATTTTAGGTTCGGATTCTGGTTTTGTTGACATTTTGGTATTCTCCTGTTTCTTTGTAGTCTTGGAACACTTTGCTAACAAGCTGATAAGATTAAAGAACCAAACGTGAAAGTTTCATATATAATTCGACATTTCAAAAATATATGGTTCCTGTTCTTTGATTATAAAATGAAATTTCCATGCTACCCACTTTGTTATCTATTTAAGGATCCCTGTCCAACTGCAAGGCTAGAGCGATAGTATATCGATCTGTAGTCCAGTGTTCGAACCCTGGTCAAGCATCGCTGATTTATTTTTTCTCATTCCAAACATCGTTGAATATTTTGCTTATTTGATATTTGATATTTCATATTTCATATTTGATATTTGATATTTCATATTTCATATTTGATATTTGATATTTGTTATTTGATTTTTGATATTTGATATTTGATATTTGATATTTCATATTTCATATTTGATATTTGATATTTCATATTTCATATTTGATATTTGATATTTCATATTTCATATTTGATATTTCATATTTGATATTTGATATTTGATATTTGATATTTGTTATTTGATATTTGATATTTGTTATTTGATATTTGATATTTGATATTTGATTTTTGATATTTGATATTTGATATTTCTCATTAGGTCCCGCAAGGTATGTTTTTTTCTCTGTAATTATTTATTAAAGCTACAGTCTTCCATGCAAAAAACCAGTTTCCATCACTTAGTTACAGTCTTTGGCAGTGACACGGGGATCCTTACGTAATGTATAAAACAAGATACATCAAAGTTAAACAATACGTTGTTAAGTTAATCGTCCCTTCAGCAGCTGGGCCTTGAGGCTACATTAATTTCCAACAAAGTACACCTAACCCCCTTTTTAGTATTGTGCTGTAGTTCAACAAAGAACAACTTTCTAACGTTTCCAGGCAGTGTACAAAGCTTGGCCGTATGGTGAAGATTGCAGATCTTGGGTTGGTTTAACCATTTCACGGTGTTGCTGTGGTTAAGGATGTTACCTGACTTAGAAGGGGACTCATACATCTTGTTATACTTAGATTTCTGTTCAAGTGCACGTGATGTAGATAAACCCACATCCAGTTGTATTACTCATCGTTGTAAAGGAAAGAGTCTGTTCAAGGTCGAGTTATTGGGTCAGAAAATGTTAGTAAATAGGTACTTGGTACAATTTTAAGGAGCTCAAATTGTAGAAAACCTTCAATCTTCGGCACTGTGTCGCTATCCGAAACTTTCTAATAAGATATTTCAGTTTTTGTATTATTTTACATTTTTTTTTATTTTTTAAATGAATTCTTAATCCTTTACTGTATATTTCCTCTACGAAATGAAACGTCTCATGTTGAATTCATCAACACTTATGATCAAACGTGTATAATTACAATCGCATGGCATTTCCACCAAATATCCCTTCCACATTCAGATGGCATTCATTTAATCTATGAATGCCATGGCCCCATTGTTGACGTTATTATTATCATGACGTTACAATTGGTACCGTTGAATGCCAACTAAAAGCATTTCAGTACTAAAATAACCTCTTGCCTACTGGACCTAGAAGTCATAGATCAGTTCATAAAATGATTAATATTTTCCTGCAAAGATTAATAAGATGTGGAGAAATGATATTTAGTCTGTAGTAATGTAAGCTTGCTTGCTCTCAATTTCCTTCAAATAGTTTTATTCATGACAGCATGATCAATGAAGGTCACAGATATGACGTGTTTGCAAATAACATTAAATAGCAGGTGATTAATTCATTTGTGCCAGTTATTTGCCTAGTGTTGAAACCAATATGTTATATATTCAGTCTGTTTTGTCTTTCTCTTGTTCAACGGTGAGGTAATTATCAAAAAGGTGTTGAAGATAGAACGACCATTCGATTTCAACTGCGCCATTCGTATCCAAAAATCGGGGGGATATTGTGTCAATGCATGATACTACTGATCCGAAACACTATATTGCTACATTCGTTGGTAACCTCTCTCTGATAGAATAATTAACCATCTTCAGAGAGATTAGAATACTTCAGCTTTGCTTTTTCCTGTACTTGAAAGAAGGAACATAAGACACCAGTAAAGTATTCCAAGATGACATAACCATGTTCTGGTGTATACAGACAAACAAGACTGAATGGAGCAACTCTTCTTATTTGTTTAAGGAATGTTCGGCGTCGGTCACCCACTACGATAGTAAGGGCGAGGATAAGGTACGAGTTCCTCGTTTATACTGCGATTTCAACTGTTACCTGAAAGTCGAAAGCTAGATCGCTGTCAAGAGAGGTGTAAAATACCACTGTTTAAACCTGTGTGTTAGAGTTTCAGTGCAGAGTTACATTTTCTGATTGCGCTATTAACCACGTATATGCCTGTTTAACTATATACAGGCTCTTAAACTGTATGATTGTTGGTTGACAAGAGTCTGTTTTAAGCGCCCGAGATAGAATTCATAAATAACACAGGACGCTGTATAAGGGTCGTTTGGTATTACTAATACGTTCATACACATACTCAGTCAGCGGAAAATGGGTAATAGGAAAAACATGAAATTACATCCAGGTTAACAATTTAATTGTATGCATTGCTGTGTATGTCTGACCTATGTATTTCCATTCAAATGGAGCACGCCGTTAGATGTTAACATGTGCAAGTAGTTACCTTTATCGTGAAATTATCTGTTATAAACACACATGGAATGATTTCATACGCCAACTATATTCTGTGTTATAATAAGGCTTGGTTTTCGGCATTCCTCTTCTGTCTCCTGTTCAACTAGTTGTCGTAGTAGTTAACTGCTTTGATCAGGGGTTGAATTTGTTCTACGTTCATTTACAGGTGGGTTACTAAGGTGATAATGTTTAATAAATAGTCTTCCGATAGAAATGGTTCCACCATCAACCGGTGTCGGGAGAGAATACAAAAATTCAAAAGTCATTCTATTAACTCGATTTTGTGTCAATGGAATTTTTCCTCAGGCAATGCCTGTGGTATTCCTGGGGTTAAGTCACATTTTGGCATTTTTTCTCGAGTATTCCACAAGATGTTCATAAACCAGTTGGGTTCATTCGAAGAACCGTCACCACGAGGAGGACTTGTATGATTTTTTGCAAACACGTGTATGTGAAACAAATTGAAAACATGTATATGTTCATAATATTATAACACAAATTCAATCCTTATTCTTTATTATTTGCGGTCGATGTCAAAGTAATATTTACATGAAACTAGCTAGTTAGTTGACCGTTTGTAAATGTAAAACAACAAGTCAGCAAGCGAAGATCGCTGAAAAGCTATCTATGCAGCACCGGCACGAAACAGAGTGCATGGTAAACATCGGAAGTAAAACAGGTACATTGTATTTGTATTTTGGTGGTCTGTAATGCGGCATTTCAGATAAAGTTGTGTCGTAAACATAAGGTTTTGAACGCTTATATGATCAAGCTGGTTGATGACATATCATGTACAGATACACATTTCTATCTGATGCATTAACTATTTGTAAAACATTACAATAACAGCAATAATGTTGACTAACAAAACCCTTATCAAGATACTTCTCAAGATTTACCATGAGGATTTCCAAAACTTAAACTCAAGAGTTCCTTCAGAGGCTGTACAAAAGAACAATACAAGAGATGTCGAGAAGCTGTTCAAAACAATAATCCAGGAATTGTCCAGAAGCTGCACAAAAGAAAAATCCAACAGATGTCGAGAAGCTGTATTTACGAACAATCAAAGAGTTGTCCAGAAGCTAGAATTTGTCCGGTTTTGCTTTTGAAAAACTTTTTTTTATATCAAAATCATTACGATCCGAGACTTTAGAAACACTACTGTATATAATCTTATATCCAGTATCATCCCTATCTACGCCGCAACACACTCGGCGGATGAACTGGTCTCCCTACAGGTTCATCAACGTCACATCATACTTACATTATACTAGTAACATGTTTTCTATATCAGCTGTGTGTTCCTGTAATCACTGTGATATGTGTATGATTATTAAACGATTCCAGCAAATGGTAAATGTATGAGTTTATTTCCTAGTATGTTCCATCATTAACAGATTCATTAGCATATATTTAGTTTGATGTTTCAGACATTAAGCGAGTATTTGTTCGTTAGTGTAGTGTATGACTAGGTAATCGAGAGAAAACTTAACCCAGAAATCTGTAAGATAGGAATCATATATCGTTTCTTCGTCTCTCCGGTAGGTCGATATCACTCTTGTTGGTGCGAATTAATTCTTATCGGGGTTAATAGATAAATAACGAGTTTTAAATAACAAAAAATCACAGCCGTCTGAAGATATTGAAGAGTTTGCATGCTTCTGCTGCATCTGTTATTTCTTAAGTACATACTGACACTAAGTCGGAGCACCTTAAGCACATACTGACACTAAGTCGGAGCACCTTAAGCACATAATGACACTAAGTCGGAGTACCTTAAGAAGGAACACATATACATTTTTACATCTTCTCTCCAGAAGCTTGTTAAGTTTAGAAAAGAAAAAAAACTTTTTTTTTTTTATATATTTACAATTAAAACAAAACATTTATTTCTCAGAGCAATTTATTTCAAATAGACGGGTTCCAACCCATTCCCTTTACACACGAGTTACCTGAGTTATGATTTATTTACATACACTTCATTGATATTTTGATAAAGACGCCCTAGTAATTTACTAAATCGTTCTTCGCATGAATAACTGCTTTAAAGATTTATGCTGTAAGTTATTTATTTCCATACACTCAGTTATTTTTTCTACTTCGTTATCAACCTTGTACTCCTTTCTTTTCAAAATAACACATCTTGTCCCCCTTTTATAGGTTAACAAATTCCAGTCATTATATGAGTACAGCGATAAAAACAAGAGAACCGGTGATTATTACTTACGCACACAACCATTATATAGCTGACCGGTCTACCAGGACGAGGGAGAACACAGGGCGGGACGAGGTGTTCATTAGTAAACGTTATCGATATCGTTACGTCGTCGTTATTGGGCGCTTTACATCTGTTAAATGAGAAACACTCGAGCCCGCACATAAACATACCGTACAACAATACATCAATTCCGGAATGATCAGTACAGCCCGCTTCCTTTACTAGTATATCACATGTCAGCGTGTCCATTATTGGACTAGTATGGACATTGGATGAACGTTTGAGGACAGAGGAAAAGAGGAACTTGTAATATATCGTTTGTTATCAATATTGATTTAATTCATATACATATGTGCTAGTATACGTACGTATCGATAACGCATCCTTGTCCGCAGTAAGGTTATAATCGATGTCGGAACAATCATTGTGCTATAACTAGTTTTGTACATGTAGCTACATTTGTAACCAAAGGGCTATCAATAACACAGCAGATATTTAATAAGCAATAAAAAAAAAATGTATTTTATGTTGAAATATTGTTTCGTAGTGAACATTTATCTCTTTGTTACATGCATGTGTTTGATATGTATGTGTTCATGTTTCTGACTTGAAAAAGTGGTGGACTGCCTTGAAATTTGGAAATATTCCTTTGTCTGCACTCTCGTTATCACTTCTTTACTTATGTATCGTATAAAGCGAATACGATTTGGAACCACACAGAAAAAATCGGCGAAATGTTAAGACTTTCAAAATTCTACAGGACATGTATATATAATGCACATCAGCGTCGGTTTCCAGAATTGCCATTAGCTTACACTAATAAACAATTATTTACAAAGTTCGAAATGTTTCAAAACAACGCAGAATATTATTTTATGACAGAACCTTTATATTGGAGCTATGTTATAGAACGGTTTTCCTACTCTCATAACTTCCTTGGTACCAGTTGGCTTATGTAACTCTAAAACAATTAGTGGTTTACATCTGTTTTACGCTCGTTATAACTTATCACCTGTCTCAGCATAAACTTTAATTTCAGAAAAGTTTACTTCCCTGCCAAAAACAATGAAGTTTTAGTTATGTACGCATAGAAAGTGTCCAAAGTATAGTTAGCTTGGCCATATGTCAACTGATGTTTGCTCAAATCATATAAAAAAAAGGGGGGGGGGGGGCTTTCAAATTTAAAAAGAAAATGAAATCGTTACAACATTAAGCAAATGAAAACGTGAAATAGTCTTTAATAAAACATCAAAATGTTAAGAAAACTGAATATATGGATAACTTGGAGAAGCTAGCATATCTGTTCACAACAGTGTTGTCGTTGATGCGTATCTTTGGTCGAGGACTCCCGTTGCTTACTCCGCTAGAAACCTCTTTACATCTCTAAACGTTGATCTACAGTCTCGAGTGGAGACCACAAGATATGTTCCGTTGTCTGGAACTTCCTCCGAAAATATAAAAAAGAAAACACAAAAAAGCAGAATCAAACTTATTTCTTCTACTCATCTTGGCTGGAATGTTTTACTTATACTTACTTGAAATTCACATATTGCATAGTTTCAGTTTAACTGTACACAGCTAAACAAAAGAAATCAGAGTAGAAAATTATGTACAATAAAAATGCCAGATATACAGGGAAAAAGATTTTAGAGAAATTTAAACAATCTCCTCTATTTTATTTCATGGGATAAAAATACAGATGTAACTTTAAATTGAATGAACATGTAAAAACATTTAGTTATCCTTTACATAATATAATTTGGTCTTTCGTAAAACTTGTACTTGGATCGAATACGAAAAAACACCATTTTATGTAAACATTACCAACTTTTGTTCAATTTCCTTAAAACAATGATAATATAACATGTAACACGCTTATACAATAACAATTCAGAAAAAAAACAATGATTAGATACTGACCACTGCATTGTATACATGTATATACCTTGGAAGAGAAAAGCAATACAATCTTTTCTTTAGTAATGTCGGACAGAGTCCAACGTAAGGCTTGCATTATCGAGTTATTAAAGACAGGGTCCTTGGCATAATTTGAAGCAAAGTAACCAATATAGGATTCGCTCGATTTGATTAAAAACAATTAATCAGAATTTGTCACCCAATCCATCATGGCAGCCATAATCACACAATTCCAATAGTAAACAAGTATACCGGACTGCATTTCCGGATACGCGTTCAGCAGGTCACATTGGTTAGATCGTGTATAGCGCAGCTTGATATCTATATAGCAGTGAGCCTGAATGTTGGCTTAGAATCATCGCCGGTGTATGATATCGTTATGCACGTGCTAGCGTGCATGGCAATGCACGTTATATACATGTACACATTCATCCGTCGATCGCCATTTGATCTTCAGCAAAAACATCGAAACATGGTTTATCTATCCTGTACGAAACTCTTTGAAGGTTAGCAGAATGGTACAAGATAAAAATTACAATCTCTTTTGCAAGAGAAGTCTGGAGAAAACGTCTCAATACAAACCTAAGAAAAGGATCTGCGCGTGCTGTTTCGTGTCGTCTGCTATTTTGGTTAAGGGATGTACCTTCAAAAGTTTAACGAACCTTTGACCCATCGAAATGGATAAAACTGGGAATCGGGAAAACAGCTACTGATTTTCCTCCAGGTAATGAGTCATTTTAACTAGTTTTTAATGATGAGTATTACTGGAAAAGTTTACTGAGAATATGTTCAACAGATCATGCTGTAAAAGGCTGATTTAATACTTAAACTCATGAATAGAACGGGTCGTCTAGGTTCTGAAAACATGGTTGCTACAATGCTGGTTATTACAGTCCTGTCAATATTGGAAATATCGCAAATGCAAAATTGACGAAAGGACAAAGGAGTTTTCCTGGGCATTTCTCAAACAAGGACTTGGATTCTATTGGATGTCTAGCTGACTGGGATTTTAAATACTGCGATACTTGTGTCATGATTGCATCGGATGTGTTTGAAAACCATAACATTGATATTGAAATGTCACCTTGTTATAACTTCGGCAGATGGAATTAAATAATACCTCAATAGTGTGTGTAGCGTCGAAAAGTGGTTACTTTAGGGAGTGAAATAAGTAATGGTTTTCTAAATGTGTCATTCATTCGATACATTTAAGATGGAGAGGAAATACATTTGGAATTCGAATGTACTGCTGACGATTGTAATTCTTACCGGCACATGGCACTCAGGTAAAGTATCATTAGTTACACCCAATAATTCCTTCTCGTTATCAAAGCAAATCAATTTTTATTTCAAACGATTGTATGTATGCAATTCCCTTCCTGTAACACATGGTTTGCATGGTCCTCTGTGTGGTGATGGGGAGTTTAGGCCCGAATTAAAGTGGTGTTCGGGAGTAAACTTATTTTAAGAGGGAGAGGGATTAGTGAAGGAAGGTTTATTTTCTGTATCTATGCAATTATTACGGTCACCTTGTAGGTTTACGCTAGAGATGTTTTTCCTCTAGTTCAATGGTCGGGAAGCCTGGGATAGCTGGTTCGATCACCGGTGAAAGCACACTATATGTTACAGTAGCGTATGTAAGTTGTTTGCCTGTTTCTCATACAACTGATATATACAGCTCCGATACCATATGATGACTGTGATATCACACTGCATGTGTTTAACCAATCACCCAACACTTGGTTGACTCATGAAAATCGCACTTGGATATTTCCATTTGTGAAGTTAGAATCTAAAACTCTACTTCGTTTTGTTCCGTGTCAGTTGAGTTGCATTTACACTTGTTTTAATACGATGAAAAACAGTACAAGTATCAGTTCCATGTTCTGTGACAAGAATAACACTGGATTGTTGACTTGGTTGTTTATTCGATGTTAACCAATACCTGACATTGTGTCACCATAGATAGTCCAACCTTGTTGTTTGGTTTTGTTATGAATCAAAGAGAATCGTTCATAGATTAATACTTGATCATAACATTGTACTCAACAAAGGATCGTACATAGATTAATATTTTATCATAACATTGTAATCAACAAAGAATCGTTCATAGATTAATACTTTATCATAACATTGTAATTAACGAGAATCGTTCATATATTAATACTTTATCATAACATTGTAATCAATAAAGAATCGTACATACATTAATACTTTATCATTACATTGTAATCAATAAAAAATCGTACATAGATTAATATTTTATCATAACATTGTAATTAACGAGAATCGTTCATAGATTAACACTTAGTCATAACATTGTAATCAATAAAGAATCGATCATAGATTAATACTTTTTCATAACATTGTAATTAACGAGAATCGTTCATAGATTAACACTTAATCATAACATTGTAATCAACGAGAATTGTTCATAGATTAATACTTTACCATACCCGTGTAATCAACAAAGAAGCGTACATACATTAATACTGTATCATAGCATTGTAATCAACGAGAATCGCTTATAGATTAATACTTTTTCATAACATTGTAATTAACGAGAATCGTTCATAGATTAATACTTTATCATTACATTGTAATCAATAAAAAATCGTACATAGATTAATTCTTTATCATAACATTTTAATTAACGAGAATCGTTCATAGATTAATTCTTTATCATAACATTGAAATCAACCATGAATCGTACATAGATTAATACTTTATCATAACATTGTAATCAATAAAGAATCGTTCATAGATTAATACTTTATCATAACATTGTAATCAACAATGAATCGTACATAGATTAATACTTTATCATAACATTGTAATCAACAAAGAATCGTACATAGATTAATACTTTATCATAACATTGTAATCAACGAGAATCGTTCATAGATTAACACTTAATCATAACATTGTAATCAACGAGAATCGCTTATAGATTAATACTTTATCATAACATTGTAATCAATAAAGAATCGTACATAGATGAATACTTTATCATAACATTGTAATCAACGAGAATCGTTCATAGATTAATACTTTATCATAACATTGTAATCAACAAAGAATCGCACATAGATTAATACTTAACATAACATTGTAATTAACAAATAATCGTACATAGATTAATACTTCATCATAACATTGTAATCAACAAAGAATCGTATATAGATTAATACTTTATCATAACATTGTAATCAGCAAAGAATTGTGCATAGATTAATACTTTATCATACCCGTGTAATCAACAAAGAATCGTACATAGATTAATACTTTATCATAACATTGTAATCAACAAAGAATCGTACATAGATTAATACTTTATCATAACATTGTAATCAACAAGAATCGTTCATAGATTAACACTTAATCATAACATTGTAATCAACGAGAATCGCTTATAGATTAATACTTTATCATAACATTGTAATCAATAAAGAATCGTACATAGATGAATACTTTATCATAACATTGTAATCAACGAGAATCGTTCATAGATTAATACTTTATCATAACATTGTAATCAACAAAGAATCGCACATAGATTAATACTTAACATAACATTGTAATTAACAAATAATCGTACATAGATTAATACTTCATCATAACATTGTAATCAACAAAGAATCGTATATAGATTAATACTTTATCATAACATTGTAATCAGCAAAGAATTGTGCATAGATTAATACTTTATCATACCCGTGTAATCAACAAAGAATCGTACATAGATTAATACTTTATCATAACATTGTAATCAACAAAGAATCGTACATAGATTAATACTTTATCATAACATTGTAATCAACAAGAATCGGAAAAAATATAAACATATAACTATGCAGATAATCCATATATAACTTGCGCCATAGTATGATTGCTTTGGTGTTTTGAAAGGCCTTCAAATGGTGGAACTGTGTTCAGAACTAAAGAAAAAACAAACGTATGCTACTTGGAAGGCATGTAACTAGGCCTATTGTTGTGGTTATGAAAAATCCTAATTTCATATACAGTAGTGTTCGTTCTATGGAGTTTAATTAGCGTACATGTACATGTATGCACAACGTATTTCGCAAAAGTTCTCAATGAGATGGAAGCAAATCATCACGAATTCATTCATAAATATGAAGTTTATTAATGAAACCTTGCGCATTCTAAATCACTTGAGAAGCATCCAAAACAAATTAAAACTAGTTAAACATTTTGGCACATACCAATGTAACACCTTTATCTAGTATAATATGTCAGAATGTATTACCTTTCATCCCCTTTTTAGTTCAAACAAATGCTTCATCCAGAACGTTCACAAACTGACAATATATGTTACTTAAGCATTGAACTGTTTTTGTATGGTATTTATGATCTATTTGAATGACACAGCTTTGCAAAAAAACAACATAATGCGCGCATTCAAATATTTCAAAAATACCATACAAAAACAGTTCAATACTAATATTTACGTTTTCTCTGCCTCCTATGTTCTTTTTTCACTTGTAATTCATATTTAAAATTTAAAATGCCCGCCTTATCGACAGTCCACAAAATTTCGTTCAATAGTTTGAACAGCGTATTTGTCGCGTGCTGATTGGCAAACAAAGTAGTACTTTAACAAACACTTCAATGTTATTCCACAATTCAGTATAAATACAATTGCGTATGATATGGCTATAGGGTGATTTAAGTTTATCAATAGAACTCTGAGATGGAAGTTAGATTTGAAATTGTTTCGATTTTTCTCCGGAACAAATTTCGCGCATGGATAAATACAGTGAACACCGTAAATCCGACCTTGCCCTCCACGACTGGCACGAGGGAGTTATTTTTGGAAGTTAATTCGAACTTTTCTCTTTGCTCATTTTGTGAAGAATCCAGACGTGAATTTATTTGTTGATTGTATGGGAATCTGACTACAGTCTGTAGATTCTATAACAGCCTCGTTATTTGACATGTCGTCAGAAACAGTGGCTGCGAGAGGCGTGAAACTGATGGCGTTTGAAGTGAGTCATTACAAATGTCTGAAATGTTTATGTATGTTGTGACTCATATCAGTAGGTCTGTAAAATATGTGTCAGTAGGTCTATATAATATGTGTATTTCAGACATTTGTAACGAACCCCTGTTGATCAGTGCTGTGTAACAGACGATAGTTTTGATAAATTGCATGAGCGTTAAAATTGTTTCCATTGCCGGCATTGGTGATTTCAACTGATGTGCATTTTTTACGATATTGCAGACCTTGGTCTTGTTTTTGTTGTAATAAAAGTATTTTTTATTTTATTTTTTATTTTGCACATAAACTTACAATGACATTGTCAAATCTCACAATGCCTAGCGATATTTCAGCAGCCGTCATGTTTATTTACATTGGATATTGTCATATTTACAAAATGTACATTGGTCAGTGTTGTATTAATACGCTGAGAATTATGTCTCGTGCTGCATGGTAATTAAAGTCCCATCAACGACACAGCTTTCAAAGAGGCTTTATAGTGACAATGCCATGCAAATGTAAATATATATTATTTGACACTAAAAGCTCATGTTAAGATTGACCTTTATTTTGACAGCGTATACGTTTACGGTAGTATGAACGCAGTTGGCAGCGGACATATTCTATGGTGTGCGTTATATAAAATAATCTGAGAAGTTTTACTGATCGATCTTTCAATTGTCATGTTTATTGTTATTTGTATAGATGTGTGTCATGCAGTATAATAAGTATTTCAATTTAGGTCATAACTAATTGTAATACGACAGAAAAGTAAAAACCAACAATAATAAGTAAATTTGTTGTTTTAATTAAGAAGATACTATCGGTTAAGTAACCTAGATAATACAAAGACACGATTCATTACGTTAACTATAAGGCTTATTACCTAACAAAGCAAAACTATTTTCTTTTGGAAAACACCACTTATATATTAATACACTGATATAAGTTATCCGCAAAGCCTTTAATCTATTTTTGTCAGAAAGGCCATAAAATATAATCAAATGGTCCATGATTTGTGTGGAGGATCAACATTAATTTAATAGTTACATTGTAGGTGTGTTTTATCTTAAGGGTAGACAAGCCTTGAACTAGATTCTCTACATAGAGTAAGACCGTAAAAGAAAAGCAGCAGAGTAAACAGTTGAAGATTTCATATTTAGAAACATGTATTTGGTTTTGTTGCCATTCTGTGTTCTTGAACCAGCTGAACTTATACCGTGAAGCTTGTTCTCAGCCGCAATGCTGTTCTTACAGGCTCGTGGGAATCATCGAAATAAGCTC